GAGGGCGCGAGGTAGGCTAGGCTAGGCAAGGATTCTAAACCTACTCGTGATACCATCTCAGAAAGTGAATGCAACGGAATGTTTGACTTAGGAGAGCAAGGCATACAAATAGAAACCCTAAGAGTGTTGTACTCCTTAGAGTGCTACTCACTGCAGCCTACAACCAATAACAAAATTTGACAGATTCGCACTGTCAATGCAAAATCCGCTTGAAACAGCAAGTCCGCGCCTTACAGCACAAGATTTTCGCCCAATCACAGAAAAATCGCCCTGACACAACAGAATTGCGCCGTCAAAGCACAACAATTTCGACCAAACACTAAGAGATTCCACCTGACAGTGCAGATTCGCTCTTTCACACCACAAGAATCGCCCTGACAGAGAAATTCGCCCTGTCAGAGCATGTTCTCACGAAAATCCCCTTAGTCTAGCATGTTTCGGTATCAGATGAAACACTGAATACATTTCTGATGAAACAATACATTGATGTTTCAGACTTTTTTTTTTAGGCACTCTGAAATTTCAGATTTTTTTTTACACCAACTCTGAGGGTTTCAGACTAAAATTGTGTACTAGTCTGATGAATTAGACACGCCAAAAACGAATCTGAGGGCCTGGTTTAAAGCTCGCGTCTCATATTTCTACTATCCAACCAAGTGTTAAACGGTTGGAATTTGGTAACAGCAAAGCACACCAAAGCAAGGGGTGGTTTGGGAAAGTTGGCTGTCGCACACTTCCCGTGCACACCAAGCGTTTACAACTTCCAAAAATATGAGACTCTGAAACTCAACATTGACAGAAGGGGGGACCGAACCTGTCCCCCTTGGCTCGTTTTCCACCCAAACCAACCCACCCTGGTTTGTTTTGGCCTCGACTGTTTTGGTAGTTCGCTGTGATTTTTTCACCCACTCGTCAAATATTTCGTTTTCATTACCCAATCACAGTCGGGCAAACCCAACCAAGTGTTAAACGGTTGGAAATATGAGACGCGAGCTTTAAACTATCAAATATAAGAAAGTAGATTTTAAACATTAGTGCCCCCTCCAAATATTTGTACACAAGAAAACACTACTCTGCATTAAGGTCTTAAATAACATTGTGATAATGCAAACTTTTATTCTGCATAGCAGGGTACCATAGGTCTACGACGGTGCTGATCCTCGACTTTTAAGACGACATGGAATTAAATCAAGAGAGCTTGCTATGTGCCCTACAATTGAGTTCCCTCCTTATAAAAGCTTGACAAATAGGCCATACAGCTCCCCTCCACTATACCCTCGTTTCCCTCTCCATGCAGTCTTGCCCGTCTTCCATCATGCTCCACTTGCCTCCAGCGATTGCCAGCCTGCAGATGGCATGATGCCCTGCCACACCATGACATAACATGCCATGGCAATCCATTGAATGACACACAATGCCATGCCACACCATGACATGACACACCATCGCATGCCACACCATGACATGCCACACCATGGCACCAACCAATGACATGAAACATCAAGGAATGCCACACCATGCCAAAGGGTTTCAGCCCCTTCCGCTCTCACTCACCCACCCAAGGCGTTTCAGCCTATTTCTTTCCCACTTAACCACCCAAGGGGTTTTAGCCCCCATCTCACTCACCCATCCAAGGAGAGTATCAAAACCCACTCACTCAATCAGGGCGTTTCATCCACATTCCCTTCCACTCAACCACCCAAGGGGTGTCAAACCGTTTCCTTCTCCCACACACCCATCCAATCCAAGGGGTTTCAGCCCCTTTCCCTCTCACTCACTCATCCACAGAATCTAAACCCGTTCCCTTCTGACTCATCCATTTCCCCCCACACCCACCAAAGGGGCTTCATGATTCATCTCGATATTTTTCCTACTCACCCAACCAGGGGTTTCCAACCCATTTCCCTCTCACTAACCCACCCACGGGGTCTCAGGCCCCTATCCCTCTCACCCATCAAAAGGGTTTCAACCCTTTACTCTCACTCATTCACCGAGAAGTTTCACCTTCCTTCTCACTCACCCACCCAAGTGGTTTCATCCCCCTTCCTTCTCACTCACCCACCCGAGGGGTTTCAACGCCCTTGCCTCTCAAGCACTCACCCAAGGGGTTTCAACCACTTCCTCTCTCTCGCTCACCCACCCAAGGGGTTTCAGTCCCTTTCCTCCCACTCACCCACCCAAGAGATTTTAGCCCTTTACCTCTCGCCCAACCACCCAAACAATTTTCATCCCCCTTCCCTCTCAGTCACCCTTCCAAGCGATTTCAGGGCCCTTCCCTCTTACTCGCCCACCCAGGGAGATTCATCCTCTCTCCCTCTCACTCATCCACCCAAGGGGCTTCAGCCCCTTCCCAGAGAGACTCATACTCCTTTCCCCCTCCCCAAGAGGATTCAGGCCCTTCTTACTCGCCCACTCAGGGAGTTTATGCCCCCTTCCCTCTCACTCACCCACCCAAGGGGATTGAGAACCTTTTAAACACTCACCCGCCCAAGGGGATTCAGCCCCTTCCCATCACTCACCCGCTCACGGGGATTCAGCCCCTTCCCATCACTCACCCGCTCAAGGGGATTCAGCCCTTTCCCATCACTCACCCGCTCAAGGGGATTCAGCCCCTTCCCATCACTCACCCGCTCAAGGGGATTCAGCCCCCTTACCCTCACTCACCCACCCGAGGGGCTTCAGCCTCTTCCCAGGGATATTCATACACTTTTCCCCTTCCCCAAGGGGATTCAGCCCCTTCCCATCACTCACCCACCCAAGGGGATTCAACCCCTCCTTCCCATCACTCACCCACCCAAGGGGATTCAACCCCCCCTTCCCATCACTCACCCACCCGAGGGGATTCAGCCCCTTCCCATCACTCACCCGCTCAAGGGGATTCAGCCCCCTTACCCTCACTCACCCACCCGAGGGGCTTCAGCCTCTTCCCAGGGATATTCATACACTTTTCCCCTTCCCCAAGGGGAATCAGCCCCTTCCCATCACTCACCCACCCAAGGGGATTCAACCCCTTCCCATCACTCACCCACCCAAGGGGATTCAGCCCCTTCCCATCAGTCACCCGCTCAAGGGGATTCAGCCCCCTTACCCTCACTCACCCACCCGAGGGGCTTCAGCCTCTTCCCAGGGATATTCATACACTTTTCCCCTTCCCCAAGGGGATTCAGCCCCTTCCCATCACTCACCCACCCAAGGGGATTCAACCCCTTCCCATCACTCACCCACCCAAGAAGATTCAGCCCCCTTCCCCTCACTCACCCACCTAAGGGGATTCAACCCCCGTTCAATCACTCACCCACAAAAGAGGATTCAGCCCCCTTCTCCCTCACTCACCCACCCAAGGGGATTCAACCCCCTTCTCCCTCACTCACCCACCCAAGGGGATTCAGCCCCCTTCTCCCTCACTCACCCACCCAAGGGGATTCAACCCCCTTCTCCCTCACTCACCCACCCAAGGGGATTCACCCCCCTTCTCCCTCATTCACCCACCCAAGGGGATTCAGCCTCCTTCTCCCTCACTCACCCACCCAAGGGGATTCAGCCCCCTTCTCCCTCACTCAACCACCCAGCCCATCCCCACCTTCACCTACCAGCAGTAGGAGCAGCAGAAAGCTCACTTTCTTAAGGAAACAGCAACCCCTGAAGCTGAGCCTTGTGGGATGAAGTGTGGTAGTGGAAAATTGCTTCCAGCCCAAGACTCAAATCCCACCCCTGACGTAGCTAGAGCTGACGCGAACCAGAGCCGCCGGCCGGTCGGCTCTGACGGTGCCCATTAAGCCTTAACGTCAGATTGGGAACCTGAGCACCGAGTGCCGTGCCGCGCAGATTCCACCCACCACACCCCGACTCACAAGTCACAACCCCAGAGGATGCTGCCCCTAAGGCAGTGAACTCCACGCTTGCTCCCATGCCCCCACCCACCCTCCCCACACTTCACCCCCATGCGTACTTACCTGTACCTACCTCAGCAGCAGAGCGCCATGATGCTGAGGCTGCTGGGAAGTGGAGGGAGAAGGGGGGATTAGGGGAGGGAGAGACTCCTCTGTGGTCCAGGCAGGGTGCTGCGGAAGGGAAGGGAAAAGGGAGAGAGAGAGGAGGGGATCAGCTTACCATACATCACCTGTAACCATACCACACCTGTTACCTTACCATACCTAGTACCATACCTCACCTGCAGCTACATCTAGCCTAGCCTAGCCCCACACCCCCACTGCTGCTTCTGCTGCTGCCGGTCTGCTACTCTGCTTCACCCTGCCCCTGCCGCTGCCACACCCCTCCCCCCCGCTGCTGCCCTGCTGCTGCCCTCCTGCTGCCACCTGCTGCACTGCTACAGCCTTCAGTGTACTGGAAGGGAGGGATGAGGGAGGGAGGCAGAGGAACAAGGGACAGCAGTGAGAATTGGGAGAAGAGCAAGCAGAAGCATGAAGGCAGGAAGGGAGCAGAAACGGAGGTCAGCAAGGGGAGAAGACCAAGCAGCAGCAAGAGGGCATGAGAGAAAAGAGGCTCACCTTCTTTCAGACGACCCAATCCCGATACTCTCCCATCCCATCCCAGCAGAGTGGAGTGCTGCCCTCCTCCCCTCCCACCACTGCCACCTGCACGGCCACAAGGGGAGGGGTGCGGGGGAGTGGCGGTGTTGACCCCCACGCCCCTCCCCTCCACCTGCAAGGCACACACACAGAGCTGGTCAGTGGGCAGCCAGAAAAGGACGGATGAGATCGCCACAGCAACCAGAGCAAAAACAGCTTGAGAAAGCACTTGCTGCAAGGGGGACACTCCGGAGGGTGTTTACCATGTGGTACCACACCTGGGGCTGTAAATACCTGAGGAGAAGTGCACCTGCTACCTTAGGCTGAACCTACCATCTGTTACCTGGGGAGATGGTTGAAACCCTAGGCGTGTCCCCTTGCAGCAAGAGCAGGGATGGGCGCATGAGCATGCGGAACAAAAAGCAAACAAACCCAAGAAGTGGGCTGGTGAGAACCTTGAGGGTAGAGCACTTAGCAAAGGAGTTGGTGCAGAGAGGATTGGTACAGAGAGGGCGACACTCGCTGCTCCCCCGCCCGCATCCCCATGCTGCCAAGTTCACTGACCTTGGAGGGAGGGAGGGAGGGGGAGGCAGGTACGGAAGAAGTGAGTGCAGAGAAGCAAGGTACAAGGAAGAGAGATGCAAAAGAGAGGCCAGCAGAACATGAGGAGGAGGGATGAAGGTGAAAGCACTTGCTGCAAGAGGGACACGACCGAGAGTGCCTACCACGTGGTACCACACCTGGGGCTGTAAGTACCTGAGGAGAAGCGCACCTGCTACCTTAGGCTGAACCTACCATCTGTTACCTGGGGAGGTGGTTGAAACCCTAGGCGTGTCCGCTTGCAGCAAGAGCAGGGATGGGCGCATGAGCATGCGGAACAAAAAGCAAGCAAACCAAGAAGTGGGCTGGTGAGAACCTTGAGGGTAGAGCACTTAGCTTTGGAAGCAGTAGGTGCAGAGAGGATTGGTACAGAGAGGGCGACACTCGCTGCTCCCCCGCCCGCATCCCCATGCTGCCAAGTTCAGTGACCTTGGAGGGAGGGAGGGAGGGAGGGAGGGAGGGGGAGGCAGATATGGAAGAAGTGAGTGCAGAGGAGCAAGGTACAAGGAAGAGAGATGCAAAAGAGAGGCCAGCAGAACATGAGCAGGAGGGATGAAGGTGAAAGCACTTGCTGCAAGAGGGACACGGCCGAGAGTGCCTACCACGTGGTACCACACCTGGGGCTGTAAGTACCTGAGGAGAAGCGCACCTGCTACCTTAGGCTGAACCTACCATCTGTTACCTGGGGAGGTGGTTGAAACCCTAGGCGTGTCCCCTTGCAGCAAGAGCAGGGATGCGCGCATGAGCATGCGGAACAAAAAGCAAGCAAACCAAGAAGTGGGCCGGTGAGAACCTTAAGGGTAGAGCACTTAGCTTTAAAACGAGTTGGTGCAGAGAGGGCGACACTCGCTGCTCCCCCACCCGCATCCCCATGCCGCCAAGTTCAGTGACCTTGGAGGTAGGGAGGGAGGGAGGGAGGGAGGGAGGGGGAGGCAGATACGGAAGAAGTGAGTGCAGAGGAGCAAGGTACAAGGAAGAGAGATGCAAAAGAGAGGTCAGCAGAACATGAGCAGGAGGGATGAAGGTGAAAGCACTTGCTGCAAGAGGGACACGGCCGAGAGTGCCTACCACGTGGTACCACACCTGGGGCTGTAAGTACCTGAGGAGAAGCGCACCTGCTACCTTAGGCTGAACCTTCCATCTGTTACCTGGGGAGGTGGTTGAAACCCTAGGCGTGTCCGCTTGCAGCAAGAGCAGGGATGGGCGCATGAGAATGCGGAACAAAAAGCAAGCAAACCAAGAAGTGGGCTGGTGAGAACCTTGAGGGTAGAGCACTTAGCTTTGGAACGAGTTGGTGCAGAGAGGATTGGTGCAGAGAGGGCGACACTCGCTTCTCCCCCGCCTGCATCCCCATGCTGCCAAGTTCAGTGACCTGGGAGGGAGGGAGGGAGGGAGGGAGGGAGGGAGGGAGGGAGGGAGGGAGGGAGGGAGGGAGGGAGGGAGGGAGGGGGGGGCAGGTACGGAAGAAGTGAGTGCAGAGAAGCAAGGTACAAGGAAGAGAGATGCAAAAGAGAGGCCAGCAGAACATGAGCAGGAGTGATGAAGGTGAAAGCACTTGCTGCAAGAGGGACACGGCCGAGAGTGCCTACCACGTGGTACCACACCTGGGGCTGTAAGTACCTGAGGAGAAGCGCACCTGCTACCTTAGGCTGAACCTACCATCTGTTACCTGGGGAGGTGGTTGAAACCCTAGGCGTGTCCGCTTGCAGCATGAGCAGGGATGGGCGCATGAGCATGCGGAACAAAAAGCAAGCAAACCAAGAAGTGGGCTGGTGAGAACCTTGAGGGTAGAGCACTTAGCTTTGGAAGCAGTAGGTGCAGAGAGGATTGGTGCAGAGAGGGCGACACTCGCTGCTCCCCCGCCCGCATCCCCATGCTGCCAAGTTCAGTGACCTTGGAGGGAGGGAGGGAGGGAGGGAGGGGGAGGCAGATATGGAAGAAGTGAGTGCAGAGAAGCAAGGTACAAGGAAGAGAGATGCAAATGAGAGACCAGCAGAACATGAGCAGGAGGGATGAAGGTGAAAGCACTTGCTGCAAGAGGGACACGGCCGAGAGTGCCTACCACGTGGTACCACACCTGGGGCTGTAAGTACCTGAGGAGAAGCGCACCTGCTACCTTAGGCTGAACCTACCATCTGTTACCTGGGGAGGTGGTTGAAACCCTAGGCGTGTCCGCTTGCAGCAAGAGCAGGGATGGGCGCATGAGCATGCGGAACAAAAAGCAAGCAAACCAAGAAGTGGGCTGGTGAGAACCTTGAGGGTAGAACACTTAGCTTTGGAAGGAGTTGGTGCAGAGAGGATTGGTACAGAGAGGGCGACACTCGCAGATCCCCCGCCCGCATCCCCATGCTGCCAAGTTCAGTGACCTGGGAGGGAGGGAGGGAGGGAGGGAGGGAGGGAGGGAGGGAGGGAGGGAGGGAGGGAGGGAGGGAGGGAGGGAGGGAGGGGGAGGCAGGTACGGAAGAAGTGAGTGCAGAGAAGCAAGGTACAAGGAAGAGAGATGCAAAAGCGAGGTCAGCAGAACATGAGCAGGAGGGATGAAGGTGAAAGCACTTGCTGCAAGAGGGACACGGCCGAGAGTGCCTACCACGTGATACCACACCTGGGGCTGTAAGTACCTGAGGAGAAGCGCACCTGCTACCTTAGGCTGAACCTACCATCTGTTACCTGGGGAGGTGGTTGAAACCCTAGGCGTGTCCGCTTGCAGCAAGAGCAGGGATGGGCGCATGAGCATGCGGAACAAAAAGCAAGCAAACCAAGAAGTGGGCTGGTGAGAACCTTGAGGGTAGAACACTTAGCTTTGGAAGGAGTTGGTGCAGAGAGGATTGGTACAGAGAGGGCGACACTCGCAGCTCCCCCGCCCGCATCCCCATGCTGCCAAGTTCAGTGACCTGGGAGGGAGGGAGGGAGGGAGGGGGAGGCAGGTACGGAAGAAGTGAGTGCAGAGAAGCAAGGTACAAGGAAGAGAGATGCAAAAGCGAGGTCAGCAGAACATGAGCAGGAGGGATGAAGGTGAAAGCACTTGCTGCAAGAGGGACACGGCCGAGAGTGCCTACCACGTGGTACCACACCTGGGGCTGTAAGTACCTGAGGAGAAGCGCACCTGCTACCTTAGGCTGAACCTACCATCTGTTACCTGGGGAGGTGGTTGAAACCCTAGGCGTGTCCGCTTGCAGCAAGAGCAGGGATGGGCGCATGAGCATGCGGAACAAAAAGCAAGCAAACCAAGAAGTGGGCTGGTGAGAACCTTGAGGGTAGAACACTTAGCTTTGGAAGGAGTTGGTGCAGAGAGGATTGGTACAGAGAGGGCGACACTCGCAGCTCCCCCGCCCGCATCCCCATGCTGCCAAGTTCAGTGACCTGGGAGGGAGGGAGGGAGGGAGGGAGGGAGGGAGGGAGGGGGAGGCAGGTACGGAAGAAGTGAGTGCAGAGAAGCAAGGTACAAGGAAGAGAGATGCAAAAGCGAGGTCAGCAGAACATGAGCAGGAGGGATGAAGGTGAAAGCACTTGCTGCAAGAGGGACACGGCCGAGAGTGCCTACCACGTGGTACCACACCTGGGGCTGTAAGTACCTGAGGAGAAGCGCACCTGCTACCTTAGGCTGAACCTACCATCTGTTACCTGGGGAGGTGGTTGAAACCCTAGGCGTGTCCGCTTGCAGCAAGAGCAGGGATGGGCGCATGAGCATGCGGAACAAAAAGCAAGCAAACCAAGAAGTGGGCTGGTGAGAACCTGGAGGGTAGAACACTTAAATTTGGAAGGAGTTGGTGTAGAGAGGATTGGTACAGAGAGGGCGACACTCGCAGCTCCCCCGCCCGCATCCCCATGCTGCCAAGTTCAGTGACCTGGGAGGGAGGGAGGGAGGGAGGGAGGGAGGGAGGGAGGGAGGGAGGGAGGGAGGGAGGGAGGGAGGGAGGGAGGGAGGGAGGGAGGGAGGGAGGGAGGGAGGGGGAGGCAGGTACGGAAGAAGTGAGTGCAGAGAAGCAAGGTACAAGGAAGAGAGATGCAAAAGCGAGGTCAGCAGAACATGAGCAGGAGGGATGAAGGTGAAAGCACTTGCTGCAAGAGGGACACGGCCGAGAGTGCCTACCACGTGGTACCACACCTGGGGCTGTAAGTACCTGAGGAGAAGCGCACCTGCTACCTTAGGCTGAACCTACCATCTGTTACCTGGGGAGGTGGTTGAAACCCTAGGCGTGTCCGCTTGCAGCAAGAGCAGGGATGGGCGCATGAGCATGCGGAACAAAAAGCAAGCAAACCAAGAAGTGGGCTGGTGAGAACCTTGAGGGTAGAACACTTAAATTTGGAAGGAGTTGGTGCAGAGAGGATTGGTACAGAGAGGGCGACACTCGCAGCTCCCCCGCCCGCATCCCCATGCTGCCAAGTTCAGTGACCTGGGAGGGAGGGAGGGAGGGAGGGAGGGAGGGAGGGAGGGAGGGAGGGAGGGGGAGGCAGGTACGGAAGAAGTGAGTGCAGAGAAGCAAGGTACAAGGAAGAGAGATGCAAAAGCGAGGTCAGCAGAACATGAGCAGGAGGGATGAAGGTGAAAGCACTTGCTGCAAGAGGGACACGGCCGAGAGTGCCTACCACGTGGTACCACACCTGGGGCTGTAAGTACCTGAGGAGAAGCGCACCTGCTACCTTAGGCTGAACCTACCATCTGTTACCTGGGGAGGTGGTTGAAACCCTAGGCGTGTCCGCTTGCAGCAAGAGCAGGGATGGGCGCATGAGCATGCGGAACAAAAAGCAAGCAAACCAAGAAGTGGGCTGGTGAGAACCTTGAGGGTAGAACACTTAGCTTTGGAAGGAGTTGGTGCAGAGAGGATTGGTACAGAGAGGGCGACACTCGCAGCTCCCCCGCCCGCATCCCCATGCTGCCAAGTTCAGTGACCTGGGAGGGAGGGAGGGAGGGAGGGAGGGAGGGAGGGAGGGAGGGAGGGAGGGAGGGAGGGAGGGAGGGAGGGAGGGAGGGAGGGAGGGAGGGGGAGGCAGGTACGGAAGAAGTGAGTGCAGAGAAGCAAGGTACAAGGAAGAGAGATGCAAAAGCGAGGTCAGCAGAACATGAGCAGGAGGGATGAAGGTGAAAGCACTTGCTGCAAGAGGGACACGGCCGAGAGTGCCTACCACGTGGTACCACACCTGGGGCTGTAAGTACCTGAGGAGAAGCGCACCTGCTACCTTAGGCTGAACCTACCATCTGTTACCTGGGGAGGAGGTTGAAACCCTAGGCGTGTCCGCTTGCAGCAAGAGCAGGGATGGGCGCATGACATGAGCATGCGAGCAGAGAGAACAGAGCACAGCGGGACAGAACGGAACAAGAAGCAACCTTGAGGGTAAAGCACTTAGCTTTGGAAAGGGTTGGTGCAGAGAGGGTTGGTGCAGAGACCGAGGCAGGTGGAGGGAGTGTGGCAGTCTCTGCTCCCCTGCCAGCATCCCCATGCTGCCAAGTGACCTGCAGGGAGGGAGGGGAGGCAGATACAGAAGAAGTGAGTGCAAGGAAGCAAGGTGCAAGGAAGAAGGATGTAAAAGACAAATACAGCAGAATGGGATCAGGGAAAACAAGGGTGAAAGCGCTCGCTGCAAGGGAGACTCGCCGGAGGGAGTTTACCACGTGTTACCACACCTGGGGCTGTAAATACCTGAGGAGAATCTCACCTGCTACCTTAGGCTGAACCTGCCACTTGATACCTGGGGAAGTGGTTGATTCCCTGGGCGTGTCCCCTTGCAGCAAGAGCAGCGATGGTCGCATGAGGCATGCATCACGGAATGAGTGAGGTGCAGGGATAAGAATACACTTAGCTTTCGATTTTGAAGCACAGAGCCGTCCCGTGCGACGTTGCTGCCACCGGTGCTGCTGCGAGGACTGCAGCTGCCACTGCTGCTGCCACACGGTTGATGGAGACGCTCTGAGCGACAGCACTGATCCCATGACGAACGAAACTGCACAGTCCAGTGAACGAGAAGCGGAATCAGCATCCAGCCAGGAACAAATTTCAAAATTCGTCAAAATACTGACGCACTCACCGAAATCGCGAAACTGCAAACTGACGATGGTGGCAGATGCCAATCGTTTGCTAGTGGAGACAGCGTTAGTATAACCTGCAGAGGTAAACGAAAAAAGTATGTTCAGTCGATTGAAAGCGAGGTGAAATTGGCTCCGAACGCTCACGAGCGGACTGAAAATGCTTGTGCAAACACTCAAACGGACTGAAAATGGCGAAATGAATTATTCTCACCTAGAATCGTTGAACTTTGGCGACGATTTGGCTGCAGCCTGGCGACGATGTATAAATCGCTTGGCGATGCTCAAGCACCCTGAGAACGTTGAGAAAACCTGCACAGCAGGAAAATCGCAATTTGGTAAGGGATAACTCTAGCGCGAAAAACAAGCGAAAATCTGCAATAACAGACGAATCGGCGACGAAGTACACACCGAAATTTGGAGGATGGAGGTTCACAACGAAGTGACAGCAGCTTGGTGGATTAGGATGCCGACTCGTGAAGATCCCCATATGGATTGAGAAACGATTTCGATGTGAGCGGAGAGTTACGACGAGCGAAATCAAAATGGAAGAGCTTCGCTACCAAGCCGAAGGAGAACGCACTCAGGAGGCAAAAATACAGCTGAAAACGAGCAGAATGAGCCATGTTGGAGAGAAATCGAGTCGAAAATGGCTGAGAATGGTCCAGAATCAGGCGAGGGGGTCACGGAGTGAGGCTCACTACCGTCCTGGAATGACGATGGTTTCTCATAGACTAAATCTGACGGTTCCAAAATGACCATCTCTGAGGAGGCTGGAACTATAATCAATCTCAACCGTAGGGCGACGTTCCAACGTGTCACGTGATTGTGTGGTTCAGGTGGATTGGAACCCTCCGTTTCCTACACTTTGTCACGTGTCGCAATCGCCGTCAAGCGGCTGCACCGCAAAAGAGAATCCAGATATCCCCCAGAAAGAGTCCGTCGACGGAAGCGGGAATCAAGGCCAAGAAGGAACGAACGAAAAGCCTATTGTTTTCGACCGTCGATTTGTAGATCATCAGGCGGATCCGTCACCCCGCCAGTTCAAGATCTGTCGCCGTGTCGCTCAAATTCGAACTGTAGGCGCTGGCGAATGAGAGGCCACCAAACTCTACCCCTGGAAGAGAGCCGTTGTGAATGACATTAGATCGCTTCCTGCTTTCCCTACCAGGAGGAAAGAACTCCTGTGAAGCTCTGGTCGTTGTGATGTGAGGTGGTTCGGCTTTGGGTGAAAATCCTAGTGGCGAAATGTGAGACCAGTCGAAAGATTCAGTAACTCTCTGCGAAACGAGTCTTGATTCTGACTCCAGCCAATGAATGCGCGAAGGATCCTCGTGACGTGGCAATTGGCACCTTCGAATCACCATCTATTTCCTTCATGAATGCTGACCAGACCTGATATTTTGCAGTTTGGTAAACCATTCTGGGCCGTCCGATTTCAGGCTTAACCGTTCCTGGAACATCAACCCCCAAGCCAATTGCCTGAAGTGGACAAGCCTTCGAGGCTCGGCACGTACAGTGCCTGAATATGAGATGTGAATGCTCTGGATTACAGAGCGGTTCTAGATGGCTGACCGAAATCATAACTTCTGTGAATATTTTCAGTATCCTACTCGCAAATCTTTCAAGTTCTCGATTTGTAATCAGGCAGGCTTGACATTATTAATTAAAATACTATAATTAGTCAAACATATCAACCCTGGACGTTTTGTGGACGAAGTTCCCTAAGGGAAAAGAGTGCCTGAAAACGTCAGCGCTTGTAATTACAAAATGTCAAGGTGAACATCTTGTTGGTTCCTTGTACCGTAATCACCACTCTCTAAACAGCAACTCTCTTGCACGAGTGTGAAACATAGTTGAGTGGCAGCGGCTTGAATCTGGGACGATACAGGGCATGTGGAAACTTGTGGACTAGCTCAAACCCTGTGAGACGCGGCCAGTGCAGAGTGCACTGCTGCCTGCAACCTCTCTGATAACACTCTCAACCACCCTCTACCTCCCACCACCACCCCCATTTCCTTTACCCCTCCACCTGCTGCTACTGCTGCGGCAGCTGCTGCAGCAGCTGCTGCAGCAGCTGCTGCTGGTGGTGGTGGCATTTCCTTGATCGCCCTGCCAATCAGCTGCTTACACCTGTCCCAGTCCTCTGCCTTACTCCAGCACGCTTTCCCCCCATGACTGCCATCAACGGCCAGCAGAGACAGCTGCAGAATCAACGGCCCTCGTGCACCGGGAGCAACAGAGGCAGCGCATGCACCAGCAGCAGCCGGATTGGCAGGGGCGGCGGAGAAGTGCAGCCGGAGGCGGACCGAGATGCAGTGCGCCAGCCAGCCTGCGCCGCCCGCGATTTGGACCGGCAGGTGGGCGGCGGAGAGGGCGGCATGGTCCATGAGTAGGACAAGAGAGAAATCCACGCGACTTTCTGCCCGGCTGTAGCTGATATCGCTGCGGTCGGCTGTTCTACCGCTGCCAGCTGCATTCCCGGCTGTAGCAGAGCCTGGGTGAACCTGGCCTGCAGATACACCTCCCCCAGATGAACCTCCACTGTGTCTCCCAAACGAATCTGGGAGATCCCAGCCTAGCCCGATGCGATTCTCAAAGCACAGATCGACTGCGATCCGGGCGGCTGGCGGGATGGCAGGGATGTTACCTGCCCCAGCCCCACCTGTAGCAGATGTACCTCCCCCCGATATTGCCTCTCCTGCTGCTGCCCCGCCTGTTCCGGCAGAAGCAGCTGCAGCAGCAGCAGCCAGCAATCGCTGCTGTTCCCGTCTCAAGGCCAGCAAGCCCATGAATTCGCGGATCACGGCCAATGGGAGCATGACAAGTGTCACAAATGACGACAGGCGGGACACGTCGAAGGGCTCCACTGCCACCTTGCGCGTGAAGAGGTCACTAATCTCTGCCAGCTCAGCAGGGCTCATGTCCACGTCAGCATCGGGTGTCATTGCGGGCGGGCGGCGCTGTGGAGCCATACGGGCGTTTACAACCTGATTGGGGAATTGGGGGGCAGAAGATAGGATTGAACACGCCCTGTGCCCCTCTGACACTCTCTAGTGACATGGTTCACAGCGCCACAGTAGGTAGTGCACAGCTATGGTATGGCATGGCATGAAATGGAAGGGCATGGCATCGCATTAACCTTCACGGCAAAGAGTTGCGTGATCCTACAGCATGAGGTGGAGGCATGGCATGATGTGACATGGCATGACATGACATCGTACAAGGCTATGGCAAGGTATAGAAGCGCATGGAAGGGTAGGGCATTCACCTGTAGCATGAGTTGCAGCTGGTCTCCAGCAGTAGGGCGGCGATGGCGGTGCAGATTCACCATGTACACATAGTTGCTGGGGGTGGGGACATGGGGGGGTGGCAGGAAATGGGGGAGGGAAATGACACAAGTGCACAACGCAGCATGGCACGATGGCGGTGCAGATTCACCATGTACACATAATTGCTGGAGCGGAGGAGATAGGGGTTGGGCAGGAAAGGGGGGCGGGAAATGGGGGAGGGAAATGGGGGAGGGATATGGGGGAGGGATATGGGGGAGAGAAATGGGGTATGGAAATGGGGGAGGGAAATGGGGGAAGGATATGGGGGAGGGGAATGGGGGAGGGAAATGGGGGAGGGAAATGACACAAGTGCACAACTCAGCATGATATGATGGCGGTACATATTTGCCATGCGCACTTGGTTCTTGGAGGGGGGGGGGGAGAGAAAGAAAGGGGCAGATGAAAGCTAGGGTGGGAGGTGGTGTGAGACGGACTTATGCAGATTCACCATACATACCAGCCGAGGCACAAGAAGAGAGACAGTGGAACGAGCGGCAGCACAAGGACATGAGGACTCACCCGATGAAGAACCGCAGTGCGGGCTGTTCCGGATCCTGAGACAGCAGCCCAGCCTCTCTGGTCCCCATGGCAGGACCCAGCACAGCCGCGAGCACGGACGGAAACCGAGCAAATAGAGCAATGGTCCCGAGGTACCGCAGCATGCTGCGCAGCACTCGCTTGAGCAGCACCACGGGCACCCACGCCCCGCCGTACCCGCCGTCGTCTGACAGCCCCACCATTGCCGTGTGGGACTCTGCTCGCACTGAGGAGGCGAGGGATGCTGCCATGTGCTGCCACCGCTGCATCTCTGCCCTCTGCTGCTGCTGCTGCTGCTGCTGCTGCTGCTGCTGCTGCTGCTGCTGCTGCTGCTGCTGCTGGTGCTGGTGCTGGTGCTGGTGCTGGTGTGAGCTGCTGGGACCGGCCGAATGCTGCCCTCCTGCTCCCAGGCTCTCCATCCCCGACCCTGTCCTCCCAAGCCTGCCAGCACCCGGACCAGCAGCAGCAGGAGCGGTGGAAGCAGGAGGAAGAGCAGCAGCAGCAGCGGGAGGCAGGTCAGGCGCATGTGAGAGCTGTGAGAGCAGCAGAGAGACCTGCTCCAGAATGAACGGGCGGAACTGTGGGCAGGGCAAAGATCCTCCCAGAGACAGATCCCCTCGAATCACCCCGCTCGCTGCTGCAGCAGCAGCAGCAGAACCACCACTGGGTGACCCACTCGGATAGCCAATGCCTGGAGTAAGTCCTCCTGATGCCCCACCCCTCCTGTTCCCACCACCCCTGTTCCCGCTCCCAGCAGCACCGCTGGGAGTTTCCGCTGCAGCCAAAACGGCAGCGGAGCCTTCAGGGAACATCGTGACGAGCCCGGGCGGCAGGTCGTAGGATTTGGGCGGCGGGGCGGGCTGCAGCCAGACGAAGTCGGGGGCGAAGCAGCGCATGTGGATGGCAAAGTCGTGGCGGTAGACGATGCGGAAGGAGAAGGGGCCACGTGGGATGATTGTGATGTCTCCTGGGAGGAGAGAGCATAGCGTTGCTCCCAGCATCAGCCCTCGCGACGCCCCTGCTGCTGCTGCTGCTGCTGCTGCTGCTGCTGCTGCCGCCGCTGCTGCTGCTGCTGCTGCTGCTGCTGCTGGGGCTGCAGTGGCTGCTGCAGTGGCAGCGGCTGGGGCTGCTGCAGTGGCAGCGGCTGAGGCTGCAGCGGAAGCAGAAGCTTCCGGAGGTGATGCTGTAGGAGCAGGAGGAGCAGACGCAGTGGCACCTGCAGCAGCTGATGCAGCATGTGCAGGAACATTATTCTGCGATGGCTGCCCGTTTGGCTGCTGCTGTGCATGATGGTGTAGGTGCGGCGGCAGCGAGGTGGGAGGGACGGAGAGGGAGCGGAGGGGGCGGATGGCGGAGTGCAGGGCGTGCAGCGGCGCTGCTGTGAGGCGTATGGCGTCCAGCAACAGCCCTGCATCGTCCATGCGCACACACTCCTCTAGATACTGCAAGGGGTAAAGGGAAGGTAAGGAAACAAACGGAGATTTGAAGGACAAAGTTGTTCTCCAAGCTCTGACAAGTGGATGGAAATAGCGGTGCTAAATGGAAGGGCTTCATGCAGCCGAGTCACTTGTACCTGTGTGTGCGGCCACAAGTCATCAGGTGAAACCATGACCCTGCAATCCACGGCCAATGACACATCTCCCCAATCGTCACCACCACCACCACCATCATCAGCGCCACCACCAGCACCGCCAGCAGCAGCAGCAGCAGCAGCACCAGCGCCACTGCCACCCGCATCCAGATTATGCTCCCGTTTCATTGCCCCCGTCCCCTCAACACCAGCATTGGACGCAGCGGCAGAGGCAGCAGGAGAAGAGAAACGCCTGCCACGCGCACGCCAGGTCACGTGCCATGCTGGCGACGGCGGACCGGCTCATGCTGTGACACGTCAGCAGGAGTCCCTCAGGAGTGCATCGCACACTTGGTACAGCACCCCTGGCTCTGATAACAGACTCAGTGGCTCTGGTGGTACCAGCAGGAGCAACAGCAGCGGTACCAGTAGCAGCAGCAGCAGCAGCAGCGGCGGCGGCGGCAGCGTCGGCAGAAGCAGAGGCAGTAGAGAGAGTTGTGGTGGTGGAGGCGCTGCTATCACCTGTGCTCTCATCGCTGTAAGCAACTCCTTCCCGTGCCCACACACATGTGCGAAGGAGGCGTTTCATGCGATGCTCACCCTCTCCTCCCCTGCTTGCTCTCTTTTTTCCAAGCCTCGTCGAACTAGCCTTGGTAGCATCAGGTTCGGCAGCATCACCCGCCAGTACGGATGGATGCAGAGGTTCGGCAGCCAGTCCAAAAAAACTTCCCCCTTGTCCAATGTCCGTCTCCTGCCCATGTTGCTGATGCTGCCGCAGCTGACAAAACTCCTGAAGCTGCCACAAGCTGACAAAATGCTGAGCTGGCACCAGCACGGACCAGCTGGCAGTGGACGGCGAATCGGATTTCAGCAGCAGGGACTGCCAGGGGGAGGCGGTATCTGGGGGCAGTGCAGCTGCTGCTGCAGGAGGGGGAAAGCCCGGAATCCGCAGCAGGGTTTGGGGGGAGACGAGCGATGACGGGCGGACGGTGGATGGTGGATAAGAGGAATCCGAACGTGAAGCAGCAGCAGAGGAGGAGAGGGAAGAGGAAATGAGGGGCGGCAGACAGGGGAAGTGAGAGGAGGGGGAGGAGGCGGAGAGTGAGGAGTAGGAGGAGGAGGAGGAGGAGGGGGAGGAGGAGGCAGCTGAGAGGAAGGGAACGGTGGAAACACCAGCAGAAGAGAGGAGGGAGGAGAGGAGGGAGTGCTTGACGGCAGCAGCAGCGAGGTGCTGGGCGCGGGACAGCACGAGGGGGAAGATGAGGGACACAGGGACCTTGCCCCGCCCTGCCAGCTGTACCAGCTCCTGCAGCAGCTGGCCAATCAGAGCGCAGTGAAGGGGTTGGGATGGGCGGTGAGTGGTGTGTTGGTGTTTGCGCTTCTTGACAGATCTGCCTGCTGGTTCATGGGCCTTGGGTGCATCAGTAACATCACGACGACCACCACCAGCACCACCACTGTCTTTATCATCACCACCGCTTTGAACCGCTGCAGCACGATCTGCACTCTGCTTTCCATCAACGGCTGCTGCTGCTTGCTCTGCACCTTCTCCCACCCCAATCCCCACTACTCTGCCCATCTCCCCATCATCACCCACCCCTCCGAGCCTCTCATCCCTCTCATCCCTCTCAACATCCTCCTCACCATCACTTTCCCAGTCATCCGCCATATCCAAAAGCTCCTCCCAACCTCCCACCATCTCCTTCCTCTCTCCATCCCCCCTTTTCCCCCCTTTCCTCATTCTCCCCTGATCTCCTTCCTCTCCCTCCCCCGCCCTCCCCTTTTCCCCCCAATCCATCCCCTTTCCTGTCCCAGAACCAGCCAGGGCGACAACCTCGGGATCTCCAGCCGCCAACACCAGCGCACCCACCTCCAGAGCCAACCAGCGCGTGACACCTGGCGGCGCTAGCGACGCTACAAGCGACTGCCCAGCTGCTGCTGCAGCAGAGGTACCAGGAGCACCACCAGCAGCCACAATAGCAGCAGTAGCGCCTACACCAGTCGCACCTGAACCAGCACCAGCACTGGCACCAGTGGCAGCGGCACTGGTCCCAGCAGCGGCAGCAGGGTGTGACACTAGAGGGGGCAGCGGCGGGGGTGTGAGTTGAAGCAAGCGGAAGGAGAGAGTGAAATCCGATTGGATGAGAATGGCGAGCAGATAGGGCGGCCATGAGGGGGGGTTGGGCGGTGGAGAGTCGGAAGGAGGAGGATTACAGTGGGGTGGTGAGGGAGAGGATGGGGCTGGGTAGGGGAGGAAGGGAGGGTGCGAGAGCGAGAAGAGGAGTGTGCGGGGCGGTGGAGGGAGAGTGAGGGGGTGCGCTGGGTCGTCTGATGTGTATCGAATGCCTGCTGGGCCCGCTTCGTATGGCTGGTTGGGTGGACGAGGGGAAGGTTGGGGGGGTTTCAAAAGCAGGGTGAATAAGGGAGGAGAGGAAGAGAATGGCGGAAGGCGACGGGTGTGAGGGTTTAGGGAAAAGAGCAAGTCTGGGAGACAGGGATAGTAAGTTATAAAGCTGGAGAGTGGGAGGGCAGTGAAGGAAGGAAACCAGGAGGTCTAAGCATGGGGTGTTTGTTGAGTGTGCAGGCAATGCAGCCGCAGCAGCACAGGAGCATTCCCATGAAACCCATACACCCCCACAGCCCACAGCCAAACCCACAACTCACCACGAGACCCAGAGCCATGGCCGCTGCAGTGAGTTGAGCGTGCAGGCAGTGCAGCCGCAACAGCAGCAAAGCAATCCAATCAACTGCAGGTATTCCCAACTCACCACCAAGCCCAGAGCCATGCCCGCTGCGGTGAGCTGGGTGTGAAGGCAATGCAAGCGCAGCAGCAGCAAAGCAATCCCATGAAATTCAATCAACTGCAGGTATTGCCAACTCACCACGAGACCCAGAGCCATGCCCGTGCGGTGAGCTGGGTGTGAAGGCAGTGCAGCCGCAGCAGCACCAGCGCGTCGCCATGAAACCCATTACACCCCCACAGACCACAGCCCACAGCCCACAGGCAGTGCAAACCCAACTCACCACCAAGCCCAGGGCCATGCCCGCTGCGGTGAGCTGGGCGTGCAGGCAGTGCAGCCGCAGCAGCACCAGCGCATCACCAGCTGTCGAGCTCCCACTGTTCAGCGCCCCCTCCACCTCCCTCGCCGCCGCCCAGGACAAGCCCTTGCCGCCCGCCCACACCTCGTACCGCCCGGTGCGCGTGTTCATGCCGATCGCCGCAAACCAGTCGCCACACGCCCGCACCCACAGCACCTCCCTCCCTCTCGACCCAGACGCTTCCCTACCCCACCTGTCCCCACCTCTGCTGCTGCCTCTCCACCGCTCTCCACCCCCGGCAGTTGCCACCTCTCTCTCAGCACCTCCCTGTCTCTGCTTCTTGGCTCTTGGCAGATCATCATGGGTTGAAGCACCACCACCACCAGCATCACCACCACCACCACCAGCATCACCAGCACCAGCACCAGCACCATGATCACCAGCATCAACCTCAGCACCATCTCCACTGCCAGGAATGGCAGCACTCGCAAGCGACAGAGATTCCATAAGCAGTTTCCGCTTCCCCAGCACACTCCCCAGCCTCTTGGCAACGCCATCCAACCCCCCTCCCCTTTTTTCCTTCCCCTCTCCTCCCGACTTTTCGCTCAGCGGCACTGCACCCTTTGCAGCATCTACAGACGAACACAGAGGAGGAGATGGAGGAGGAGGGGGCTCGGAGAAGGGAGAGTGGGCGGTGGAGAGAGATGAGGAGCGGTAGGGGGAGAAAGAGGGGGTGGGGGGAAAGGAGAGCAGCACGTCTTGGGACCCGGAGCAGAGCAGCGGAGCCGCCAGCAGGTCTCGCCTTAACCGCGCCAGCTTGGCATGCGCCGAGCACCGGGCGGCAAACAGCACCAGCTTCTCCACATCGATCCTGCTCGGGTCCAGATAGAGACAAACCTCGCCGCCCGTCTCGGGGTCCACCACGGGCGGCGTATGCTGGCAGATAAGCTGGTTGCGCAATGGCTGGCGGGAGTAGAGGGAGGAGGGAGGAGCAGCAGGAACCGCCGCCGCCGCCGCAGCAGCAGCTGCTGCAGATGAGCCTGGAGCAGAGGCAGGAGGGACGACAGGAGGAGGAGGGGTGGTAGGGGGTGGGGCGAGGGAGAGAGTGAGGCAGGGCGGCGGCTCATCTGCGCTTTCAAAGCTGACGATACCCAGCCGCACCAGCACAGCTGAAGACGAGCCCCCTGTGCTTTCACCCTTCCCCGGGTCCAGCCAGTACCACACGTGCAGCACCGCAGGGGATACCTCTGGAACCGCTGGCAACCCTGCGGCACCCCCGGCTGCTTCTCCTGCCCCCGCTCCTCCTTCTCCTGCCTCTGCTGCCCCGTATCGTTCCCCATCCCTCCCACCCCCACTCGATGCTGCTGCTCCTGAACCACTGACCCTCGCCCCCCCCACTCCGCCCTTTCCCCCTAATCCCCCTGCCCCTGCTACCCCCCCTGTTCCCCCTACCCCTCCCGCTCCCCCTCCTGCCCATCCTTTGCTCCCACTAGGTCCCCCAGACGTCCCCACACCCACCGATCCCCCTCTCCCGCCGCCCGTGCCGCCCGCGTCCCGGGCAGAGACCTCGAACTTGACGTGGTGGCGCCAGCGGGCGGCGCAGAGCGCGTGCAGCTGAAGGAGAATCTCGTCCGCCACCACGCCGCAGCACACCTGGTGGAGCACCACGTGGAGGGCTGTGATTGGGTCCTCGGCTGCTGCTGCCATGCGTCGCTGCAGCTCATCTGCTAGAGCCATCTGCTGCACCTCGCTCATGGGGATGCCCTTGATGCCCTTCACCCTGCGTGCCCCTCCGTGCTGCCTTGACGCCGTGCCTTTCCTCCCCTGCGATCGCTGTTGGCCCCGCTTCTTCCTCTCCTTTCTGCCCTCTCCCTCCCCCTCATCCTCCTCCTCTTCATCCTCCTCTTCTTCCTCTTCCTCCTCCCCATCCCCCTCTGCCGCGTTCTCCGCGCCCCGTACAAGAATCTTCACTTTAATCACCTTCCAAAGAGACAGGTTGGACATATACCCAGCAGTGATGTCCGCCTGATACTCGCCCTCCACATACACGCGCACCTTGCCCCCTCCCACCCGCACCCGCGTCACCTCCGCGGGAATAGGTGTTTCCAGCAGCCGCGTTCGCAGGAAGGAGTTAATCTGCTCTATAGCGGCTCGCCTGCCGCTGCGCCTGGCGGCTCGCAGCCTCGCGCGCTTCGCCTTGGCCGTCTCGGGCATAACTGGGATAGAGTCAGCTGGTGCTGTGGCGTCGGGTGTGGCAGCAGCAGTCACGGCAGCAGCAGCAGCAGCAGCGGCAGCGTTAGAGCCAGCAGCAGAATCAGCAGGAATGGTGGTTCTCTTCACGCCCATACCCCCCACTTCTCCCCCCTCTTCCTCTTTCCCTTTCCCCTTCCTCTCCCTCTCACCCTCCTCTTCCTCCTCCTCCTCCTCGTCCTCCTCCCCTCCCAGCAATCTCATTGCTTCAGCAGCTGCCGTCGCAGCTGCAGCAACCCCTGCAGGCGGTACCAACCCTGCCACCGAAGCTGGCCCGAGCCTCTGCAGCATCAGGTTCGGCGGGAGCTGCAGATCGTCTACGCAAGCGGGTAGCCGGCGGTAAGCGTGCGTGGAGAGAATTTCGACGGCTGTAGGAACGTCGTAGAGCGGCGCTCGCGCGCCTTGGATCTGCGCGTGGGTCATCCATAATCCGTCCGCAGCTTGCACAAACGCTGCGTCGTCATTGGCCAGCGCGGTCCACGCTTGCTTGCACCGCTCGATCACGGGCAGCTGGTTGCACCATTTCGTTACAACGAGAAGCCGTAGCAGCTTTTGTCGCGTATGCCAGAGAAATTTCAGAAGAGCGACCTTTCGCTGTTTCTCGTCGTCGGGACCTCGCCCGCTCGCCTCCGCCGTCGCACGCGACGCAGCTAGCGACTCGCTCAGCTGTCGCAGCTCTCGCATGGTCTGCTGAACCGTCGCAGTACTGAGCAGGCTCAGCGGGACTGTCTCTTCCGCCGTCGGCGGAAGCATCGCTGGCGGAGCACCTGGCGGAGCAGCCATAGCAGGCGGCGGAGCTTCCGCGACGCCTGCCATTTCCGCCTAACTTCAGTTCCGACAGAACTATTTCAGAAGAGATTGAAAAAACCTATACCATTACTCGAGTAAAGACGAATACGCACACGAATAGTGACTGTTCGATTCCCCGGCTATGATCATATTTATTCCTTTCGTGGAAAGGCGGGAACTACTCTCTAGGTTTCAGGCACACGTGATCGTGAAACCAAAATCTAGGCTGTGTCTGTGATTGTGTAGGGTGAGGTCCAAATTTGAATACGGGCCACGAAGAAAGATGGTTCGGGCCGGGCAAGACCAACCTTCGAGCTGAGCTAATGGTAATTAGAATACTTGTTCTTATATTTCAATTATCCACTTTGTAAAGAAGGAAGAGCACATACATTTCAAATGCAATACAATTCACACTGATGGTGATGGAGATTTCCAGTGAATGCATGGACAAGGCTGAGATTGAAGTTTCATCGTGAAACACCCGATGTCTCGACATCTCTGTCAGATTACAATTGTATCTCTAGGCTACAGTAGGGTCACTCCTTAGTGAGTACAACACTTAAGGGTTAGGTTTCCTCTACTTGTACTCACCTCTTGCCTAGTTCAATCATTCATTCCTGCTTATTCTAACATGGTATTAGAGAAGAATCGTTCATAGGGCCCACCGAACGTTCCGCCCTGCCCTACCCGTAAAATTTTCTTCCTACGCTGCCCCTGCAGCCGCACTGCCCTTGCAGCCTGCGCGCTGCCCCTGCGACTACGCTGCCCCTGCAGCCGTGCTCGCCCCTGCGACCGCGCTGCCTCTGCAGCCGTCCTCGCCCCTGCGACCGTGCTGCCCCTGCAGCAGTACTCGCCCCTGCGACCGTGCTGCCCCTGCAGCCTGTCAAACATATATATGTTTTTTAGTTTTGGGTAGGCTGTAGTGGGGTAGATACTGTGGGGTACAACCCCTTAGGTTTCTTCCTTGTACCAAATCTCTCGACAGTGCAAGTCATTCATGCCTAAGATTCTGACATGGTATCTAGAGCAGTAGGTCTTTAGGACCTAAGATTAGGGCCCACCGGTTACCGCGTTACCTCACCTACCGCCTTGCCTGCTGCCCGCGCGCGCCTCGGCTGTACGCGCGCGGCCCTTTTTTTTCCCGCGCGCGCCGCTTAAGCAGCCCGCGCAGCCCGTTTTCGGCCCCGCGCGCCGCGTTAGTCGCCCGCGCAGCCTCTGCCGGCCCGCGCGCCGCTTAAGCCGCCCGCGCGCAGCCTGCTTAGGCCCCGCCCGCACAGCCCGCCGCCGCATGCAGCCCGCAATCGCGCGCAGCCCGTCACCACGCGCAGCCAGCAGCCGCGCGCAGCCCGCAGCCGCGCGCAGCCCGTCGCCACGCGCAGCCAGCAGCCGCGCGCAGCCCGCAGCCGCGCGTGCCCTGCCCGTGTGCCGCCCGTGAGCCGCGCGCCTGCCTGTCTTAGCCTGCCTGGAGCGCCTGCCTGCCAAGAGCGCCTGCCTGCCTTGAGTGCCTGCCTGCCTTGAGCGCCTGCCTGCCAAGAGCGCCTGCCTGCCTTGAGCGCCTGTCTGCCAAGTGCGCCTGCTTGCCTTGAGCGCCTTTCCTGCCGCGCGTGCCTCCCTACTACGCGCGTTTGCTTGCCCTGCACGCCATCTCCGCTGCCTTGCCTGCAATGCTACTATGGCGACGCTTAATGTGCTCGCGTTCGATCCTGACGGCCGTCCAGTAGAGTTCGCCACCTGGCTCGACGACCTGCAACTGCTCCTCCTGACTGATGCCAAGGACGGTGTTTCCCTGTTCGATTACATGTCTGGCACTGCCGTTGCTCCTACTGACAGTGCGCCTGCTCTAAACTGCTCCCAGTGGCAGACCCGCGATGCTGCTTCGCGCCTAGCTATTCGCAACCATCTGCCGATCACAGAGCGCGCGTATTTTAGCCAGCACAAGACTGCCAAGGCACTGTACGACGCTGTAGTTGCCCGCTACTCTGAGAAGAAACGAGGAATGAAATGACTAAGTGAAAGTTGGGTACAAAAAGCAAACCCTAGAAAACTGTACCCCATATGTGCCACCCCACTATAGCCTACAATAGCTATGTCATATAAATCTGACACACCCCCATAGGCAAAGTGGGGGAGAACAAGGGGTCACAGGACCAGTCAAGCACAGCAAAACAAGCTCAGGGTGGATCACAAAGTCACCACACATTCCGAGCACAAGTTCAAGGCCACAAGGCCAGTTCACATGCAGGATTACATATACATATAAGGCTAGACAAGCAAGAGCAGGAGTATATATATGTATGCATCAGTACAAACAAGGTCAAGGGGTGAGCAAGTGAGGCAAGGTGGGCACAAGACCCAGCTGAGTACAGAAGCGCTGATGATCACAAGGCGCAAGTGCCTTGGTGAAGATATCAGCAGTGTTGGCCTGAGAGGCCACGTACGCAAGCCGCAGCTGACCACGCTGCTGTAGCTCACGAGCAAGGAAGTAGCGGAGAGCAATGTGCTTCGTTCTGTGCTCCAGTCTCTGCTCTCGACACAAGGCCAGCATGGCCTTGTTGTCTACGTACACAACTGGAGGAGAACGAGGCGGCTCTCCGAGGTCAGTCAGCAGGTAGGTGAGCCAGCGAAGCTCCTGTGCAGCCATGGCCCCGGCGTAGATCTCAGCCTCACAACTGGAGCCGAGAACAGAAGACGAGCGGGTAGCCCGCCACGAAACAGAGCCGGAACCAAGGCTGAAGGTGTAACCCTGTGACGACCGCTGCGTAGCCTGGTCGTCAGCCCAAGAAGCGTCTGCGTGCCCAGTGAGGACCACTGGACTCTGCCCTCCAAGCACAAGCCCCATGCCCGACGTACTGCACAAGTAACGCAACACCCTCTTCGCTGCAGCCATGTGCTCCGGTCTGTGTCTCCCAGGAGCAACATAGCGTGCGAGAATGCTAAGAGGGTATGCGAGGTCAGGTCGTGTGCAGGTCATCAGGTACATGAGGCAGCCAACAAGCTCTGGGTACGGGCCACTCGACTCTACGGACTCATCCGAGGGCAGAGCTGAGAGCGAGTGGCGAGTAGGCAGAGGAGTGGCCTGAGGCGAGGAGTACGTGAAGCCGAAGCGCTGAAGGACCTGCTGCACCATGTGTGACTGAGTCAGGGTAATGGTGCGGCGTGCTCTGTCCCGGGTGATCTGCAAGCCAAGGTAGCTGCGCAGTTCACCCAGGTCTGTGCACGTGTGTCTCTTCTGCAGCTCGGACTTCACGTGGGCGAGTCCAGCAGTGTCAGCTGTGGCAAAGACCAAGTCGTCGACGTACACGAGGATGTAGAACGGCGGCAAAGAAGTGTCGGTGCGCAGAAACAGCGACGGGTCGGCAGTAGAGGGAGCAAACCCAAGAGCCGCAAGTGTAGTCCTCAGTGTGTCGTGCCACTCACGCGGTGCCTGGCGGAGACCGTAGACTGGCCGCCGGAGGCTCCACTGGGTGCCAGGAGGAAAAGACCCAGTGAAGCCAGGTGGGCGACGCAGCCAGATCTCCTCGTGCAGGCTGCCCTGCAAGAAAGCAGTGCTGAAGTCAAGAGAGTGCAGCTCGTAGTCGCGGTGAGCAGCTATGTGCAGCAGTACCCGAAGAGTGGTCATCTTCGGGGTGGGAGAGAAGGTCTGAAAGTAGTCAACTCCCTGCCGCTGACTGAAGCCACGAGCCACGTAACGCGCCTTGAAGACAGGCGGAGAACCCGGCGGCCGCTTCACCCTGAAAATCCACATGCCACTGACGATGTTCGCCCCAGGCGGGGGAACCTCGTCAACGTAGGTACCTGTGGACTTCCAGGAAGCCATCTCTGTGTCCATAGCTGCCTGCCACTGAGAGGAGTAGGGACCCTCTATCGCCTCCGCGTAAGAGCGCGGAGTCGGGATGTCAAGTGCATCCGGGTCTCCCTCAGGGGTAAGCAGTACGGACACAAGATGAGGTGAAGCAGCAGCCAAACACTGGAACTCCTCCTGCCTGTCCTCAAGGACGTCCGTGCCAAGGGCACACTCACCCCCGACGGACGGAGGACAGACAGACTCAGACTCAGCGACAAGACAAGCAGCGTAGTCTAGACGACAGCGAGCAGCAAAGTCGACGAGCTCAGCAACTAGGGCAGACGCAGCAGTGGACGCAAAGGAAGGGTCAGTGACGACAGTAGCAAGGAGACGCGTGACAGTAGGACTGGCAGCACGAAGAGAGTCCGACTCTGGGTCGGGAAGAGCAGGAAGAGAGGACTCAGGAGGAGAAGGCAAAGGGGCACGCAGAGGAGCAGTGGACGGACGCAGAGACATCCGGTGCGTGCCAGGGACAGGAGGAGGACGCTGACGCGAACCACGACCACTAGCGCGAGCAGTACGGACAGGCGACGCAGGACGCGACGCAGGCTCACGACGCTCAGCAAGACCTCCAGTAGGACCAGTGTAGGGAGAAGGAGCGGGCAGTGGGGAGGCCGGCTGTAATTGTAACTGTGACAGGACAGGCTGTGGACTCTCT